ACAGAATAGTTTTGCCTATTATTAAACTCTATATAAATGGAATCAAATGGTGGGTATTATTTTTACCTGGCTTCTTTTACTCAACGTTTGGTTTGTGAGATTTACCCAGGTTCTTAGGCATAGCAGTAGTTTGTTCATTTTTATTGTGTAATATTTAATTGAATGGATATAACACAATTATATATTTAGGAGTTGGGTATAACTAGGAGTGGAAGTGCATTATCAGTCCTTTCCAATTTTGCAACTTAAGTAGTTATAGTGGCATTTCACTATGGTTTTACCTTGCATTTCTGATAGCCAATGAAGTTGGGCTTATTGGTTATTTGAATATCCTCTTTGGTGAAGTGTGTGTTCAAGTCTTGTGTCTATTGTTCAGTGGGCTTGCCTGTTTCTTAATTTTTTTAAAAAATATATATAAATAATACTAGTCTTTTCAAAGAATTGACTTGTTTTGCTAATTTTGTTCATTGCTGATTTCTTTTCCATTCCACTGTTTTCTGCTCTTGTTTTATTATTTTCTTTGGTTTTACTTTTCAGTTCTTTACTTATTTTCAATCTTTCTTCATTTCTAGGATGTGCATTCAAAACTATACATTTTCTTCTAAGTACTGCTTTAGTTGCTTCCCAGAAGTTTGGATATACCATATTTTTTGTATCATCCATTCAAAATATTTTCTAGCTTTTATTGTGATTTTTTTCTTTGACCCATAAGTTACATAGATGTAGATTACTTAATTTTCAAATATTTGGGGAATTTTCTAGTCATTTTTGTAGTTGATTTCTAGATAAATTCTATATACAATGAATTATTTTAGTCCTTTGAAATTCATTGAGACATGCATTAGAGCTCAGCAAGTGTGATAAACATTCCATGTGCCCTTGGAAAGGATAGGCATTCTGCCATTTTTAAATGCAATTTTCCAAATATATTAATTATGTCAGGTTGTTAATCATGTGGTTATAATCTTTATCAGAAGCTGACAAACTTTTTCTTAAAGCGTCAGATAGTAAATGTTTTAGGCTTGCAGGCCGTATGGCCTCAGTTCCAACTATTCAACTTCACCATTGTAACATGTAAACAGCCATAGAAAACAGGTAGATAAATGGACATGGCTGTGTTCCAGTAAAACTTTATTTGTAAAAACAGGTAGCCAGCCAGTGGGCCATAGTTTACCAATGCCTGTTCTGTCCTATTACTGTGTGTATTTTAAAGAATTTTTGGTCTGTTTATTCTGTCTGCAGAAGTCTTCTGTAGTAGACTCTATAGAGAAGTCTCTCACAAAAATTGTGAATTTGTCCAATTCTCCTTTAAACTCTGAAATATTTTAAATGTATGTTAGCAGGTGCATACAGATTTAGAATTTTAATGTTTTTTTTTTTGGTGATTGATTCTTTTATAAATATGAAATGCCCCTCAACCTCTAATAATGCTTCTTGCCTAAAGGACTACTTTGTCTGATATTGACACAACTATATCAACTGTCTTTCAGTTAGTTCAATATGATGTTTCTTTCATTGTCCTTTTATCTATAATATGTTCTTTTATTAAATTTGAATTCTTGTAGGCAACATATATTTAATATTCTTTTTTTCCTAAATTCCATCTGGCATCCTTAGTATTTTAGTTCAGATATTTGAATCCATATATATTTAATACAATTACTAATATATGTGAATATATGTATATATTCTTGCTATTATTATTTCTTTACTTAACCTAGAAATTTTCTTTCAACTCCTTAAAAAATGTTATTCCATTATCTTCTAGCTTCTGTTAAAAAGTTGCCTGCCCATTTTATTTGCTCCATTGAATGTAATGTGTCATTTTTCTCTGGATGCTTTTTAGAAATTCTCTATTACTTTAATTTTCAGCAGTTTTATGGTTTCCTTAGTACTTTTCCTTCTTTGGGTTTATAGTGCTTCCTGAGAGTATAGCTTGATGTTCTTTGGTTAGTTTGGGGAAATTTCTCAGCTACAGTCTTTTCACACATTGCTTCTGTTCTGTTCTCTTTTCTTCTTTTCCTAGGATAGCTCTTGTAAAAGTGTATGGGAAGTGTCCATTTGTGACATTGACATGAGCCTGTCCAGATTAGATGTCTTGTTTTGTTTTTTTCCCCCATTGGGTGAATCTAAAAATTGATTCCTCTTCTGAGACTCTTCTGCTTTGGTCGAAAGTTCTAATGAGAGATCCAAGGATTGTTTTCTCACTTAAAGTTTCTGTTCCTGAGATCTCCTCGTTTTTACCTCAGAAAACCCATATGTTGAAGTGAATGAATCTGGACCTGTGGGCACACAGACTTGCACCCACCTGGGTACCAGCCCTCACTCAGAGCAATTCTCACATTCACAGGCTCCAGGATTCTCATCCACAGGAGGCCAGAGCCGGAGAAGGGTTAGTGGCAAAGGAGGTCAGTAGCCAGGAGCTTGCCTGACTTTTTTTGATATTGATTTGTAATAGTTATTTATATATGCTACATATATACATGAGCCCTCTGTCAGTTATGTGTGTTGTAAGTATATTCTCCTTGTCTATGGATTGTCATCTTGTCCTCTTATGGTGCCTTCTGATGAGTGGAAATTATAATTTGTGTAACCCATTTACTTATATTTTCTTTTAAAATTTATTTAAAACACTCAGAGAGGAGGAAATGGTTTGAATTCTTTGAGAAAGCTTAGAGTAGGCTAAGGAAGAAATTTCATTAAAGTTTATAGCCTTATTCAAGATTAACCTTAGCCTTTCTTCTTAAATTTTCACACAGATTTACACATTTATTTTATAAGAATAATCTCTGGAATTAAACAAGTCGCTTGGAAACAATGTCCCCAGCTGAAATTATTGTATTCCATCTGTAATATAAACAACTTGAGATAGTGTATCGCAACTCCAGCCCTGGAGAAGGATGTCATGCATGGTAAAGAAGAGGGTCAGTGAAAAAGAGGAAGACCTTCAACCAGATGGATTGACATGGTGACTGCAACAACAGGCTCAAACACAGCAATGATTGTGAGGACGGTGCAGGAGTGGACAATGTTTCATTCTGTTGCACAAAGGGTTGTTATGGAACCGATTCCATGGCACCTCATGACAACAACATCCCAACTGATTTGGTTTCCAAGTATGGTGATGATGAGGAGGAAATAATCATTAGTTTTTTCACAAAGGACAAAGCCATATAACATTATTATTATTATTATTTTTTACCTACAAACATTCTTAAACTGGAAGAAGAAAATAAGGATAGAAAAAATAGCTTAAGGTCTTCCTTAAAAAAAAAAAAAAGTTTTCTCTCTTTGTCCAGAGAAAAAAAGAATGAAGAAAACCAAAGACACATGGAAACAATTAGTCTATGGGACTAGTGGACCAGCCGTACTTCAATCTACATGATCCTGAGAACAGAAGAACTAGATGGTGCCCGGCTACCACTGTCAACCACTCAGAAAGGGATCAGCCACTCAGATAGTAGATCCTGGATAGAGTGGAAGAAAATTGTGGAATAAAACTCAAAATCATAAAAAAGACCAGGCTTACTGGCCTAATAGAGACTGGTGAAACCCTCAAGACTATGGCCCCTAGTCACCCTTTAGGCCTTGTTCTGGTTACCTAGTGCCATTCTGACAGGAATATGCCTCAAATGGGATGGCTTGAACAGATAGAAGTTTATTCTCTTACAGTTTGGAGGCTTTAAGTCCAAGTTCAAAGGGCCAGGCTCTAGGGGCTGGGTGAAAGCCCCTTGACCTTGGGCTTCAGCTCTCCCTCTTGCTCCTGGCCCACTGAAGGTAGAGGCATCTCTTCCTCAGGTAGCTATTGGTTGCTGAGGCTAACAAGCCCAAGGTCAACAAATAAAATAGCACATGGCAGGCCATTAATTCAAGTCCATTGAAAGTCCTAAGGTCAGCAGAGCATGACAGGCTGCTGAACAATGACACGGCTACATGCAGGGTTCAAGCATGCCATAAGCTAGAGACCATTCCCAAAGCTGTTTCTTATACACAGGAAACAGACCACATACACAAAGGCAGCTACTCAGCTGCTCCCAGCAGACCACATACCCAAAGACAGCTACTCAGCTGCTCGCAGTAGATTCCACCATGGAGTTGATTACCAGTCTTATCATGGGGAATACTACATCCAGCTGCCCAGCCACTCAACCAGGCCTAGCCAAGTTAGCACACAAACTTAACCACTACAGGCCTGGAATTAGACCCATGCCCATGGCCTCTAGCCAAACAATAAACTAAAAAGAAAAAAACCCAGACCCACTGCCATCAAGTTGATTCTGACTCATAGTGACCCCCATTGGGTTCCTAAGGCAGTAAATCTTTATTCTGCAGAGTGGCTGGTGGATTTGACCCACCAACCTTCTGGTTAGCAGTCAAACGTCTAGGCACTGCACCACGAGAGCTCCTTAGCCAAAAAGTAGACAGGAGTATAGGGTGAACATTTACACCAGATAGATACACTCCTTAGAACAATCAACCTTGGGAGATCAGAAGCATAGTATTTGCACAGAGAGATAGCTCAGAGGACAGAAATAGGAAAGAAGGACACAAGAAAAAGGTAACCACAAGGAGAAAGTGGGAAGAGAAGTTACATTATGGCAATTGCAATCAATGTCATGAAACAAAATGTGCATGAACTGTTGTGTGGAAAATGAATTTGCTCTGTACATTTTCACCCAAATCATACACACACACACAAAAGTTGCTTTCAGGGTGGTAGGTCTGGTTGATAATACAAAAGCAGTCAGCCCCCAGTGACTCTAGTGTGGCCTACAGGTAAGAAAAAACCCTTACACTAACCCTCTAGGACAGATAAAACTATTAGGTCAACTTTTCTTACTTTCTGCACTAGTCCCTACTCCTTCTGTATTGCCACCCCCATGGGCAGGAGAGTTCAGGAGGTAGATAATTTCCGCCTAGAAATTCATAGGATGGAAGCTTGACTGAGCATAGGGAGAGCACACAAATAAAGTGAGGAAGGCCACTTGAGTCCTGCTCACCGGAGCTGAAAGTGCTTGATCTTGGTAACCAGCAGTTTGTACTCAGCACCCCGTGGTGCCATGGATGCTACGTCTACAAATATCAGTTGTTCCAAAGGTCCTGTTTCATTGGTAGCTTCTGAGGGACATAAGGTGCGGCTCACTTCCTGGTAGTTGTAGCTTCTCTGGTATCTGCAACAGCCATTAGTGGGAAAGAAACCCAGCAAGAGCAAGAAAGAGACTCAATGAATAAGCAGAGAGAGATGCCTATCTCATTTCATTTCTCCCCAAATTTGTTTCCAAGACCTACATTTTACATTTCAGACTGGACCTGTTGATAGCAATTTTAGAGTTACTGGTGTTTTAGCAGGGCTGTGAGGTTTGTTCAGTGTTAGTCAATTCATTAGGCAGTGTCTGCATTATACTGAAACATGCTGCTAATTTGGTGAGGAAAAAATATCAAAATTTCAGAGCAAAATTGTACAGATAAAAATAGCCAGTTGATTCTGTTTTGCTAAGATGGAATATAAAGAAAATGTCAGAATCCAATATTTCAATCTGCAAATACTTCATGCACAATATAGTTAACACTCATGTACCCATGTCTATATGTCCTCTGGGTCTTTTCTTAATTGTACAATAGAGGCTTGGACAGTTCTCCCCCATGAAGATATAAGCCCCAGAGGGCAGGGACGTGTTTTGTTTTGTTTTGTTTTTTTCCCCCCTACAACTGTGTCCTCAGCGTACCTGTAACTTAGTGGAGCTTAATAAATGCTATTGAATGAAGAATGTATAGATTCTGTAGGTACTCAGTGGACCTGCTTCAGAGCTACAAAACATTCGGGAGAGAATTTAACGAGGAAAAGTTTTTCCAGGTCCTCTGGTGGCATAGTGAGTAAGGCATTTGACTGCTAACCAGAAGGCTGGCAGTGCAAATCTAGATGGAGTGTTTATCTGAAAATGAAAGAAGTTGAAAACTGAACAGAGGTAAAAAGATTTACAACAGTAGGCACTGTAGAAATTGTTTACACTATAAAGAAAAAAAAGAAAGGAAAAAAAAAAAGCCAGTTGCCATGGAGTTGATTTTCACTTATGGTGATCCCAAATGTGTCAGGGTAGAATTGTGCTTCACAGGGGTTTCAATGGCTAATTTTTCAAAAGTAGACAGACTGACCCTTCTTCAGGGTACCTCTAGGGGAATCAAACTTCCAACCTTCTGGTTAGCAAATGAGCATGTTAACCATGTGCACTTCCCACAGACATCGTTTACACTTAGCATACATAAAATATCAACATTCCAAATGTCTGAGTTCTCCTTTAACCAGGGAAAAGACCAATACGTTTTAGGACATTGAAAGAAACCAAATGTTTTGAAGTTCATTGTCTAGGGAAAGAGCCACTTACAGTCCTTGGAAGAGCAGTGGAACCTGCCACGACAGCACCTCTTTCTGTTGGCGAACCACAACAAGGACTGGGAAATCAAGGTTCTCGGAGGAACTGTTCACATACACCCGCACTGCGTTCACCTGCAAGGCAGGGCAGAGAGAGGTGATGAAAACACACATGAAAACACTCACACGCGCGCGCATGCGCATGCCATAGCTGCCATTGAGGCTCAGGAAAACTTTAATTTCTGACATTTACTTCTCACAAAATATATTCTAAATGCTCTGGCTTTCTTTCCTTATTCATATTGTAACCACAGTGACTCTCGACCTTGATTGTCCACTGAAATCACCGGGAAGCTTTACGAAAATACTGTTGCCTGCTTCCAGTCTTCTGAGACTTTGATTTAACTGGTCTTAAGTGAAGCCAAATTACGGAGGCTACAAATGGCAAGCAGTGGAATTTGAACTGGGCAGTCTATATAAGATTTGGAGAACAAGCCCAGAACAGGAAAAGGAATAAAACGATGTGTTTTTTTCTCATTTGAATACAAATGCTAAAGATATACATATATAAACATTTTATCTTAAAATAGATATATTTATATAAATATTTCATCTAAAAATATATGTATATATACTTATATAAATGTATAAATATTTCATCATATATGTATATAAATAAAATTATTATTTTTTAAAGACCTACAAGAGCTTTGATAGGTGACAGAAAATCTTTGATTTTGGTTTGGGGAGTGATTTTGTGCTTCAAACCAAAATGCTATTGCAACATCTCATTAACGCCTAACAGATGGCTTGATGCTTCTACCACCAAATCACAAGCTCCCTCAGTGACAGATACCACAAGTGCTATTTTTCTCTTTGCCCTGATCCAAGGTATAAATCAATTCCTGACACAAAATGCTTTTTTCTATCAGCAGCTCTGCTCCTTCTGAACACACAAATCTACCCAAGGATTTAGCCCCATCATGGCTCCCTTTTAAAGAAAAGAAATTGAATTGTGACCTGGATCTGGGGGTATTTGTTGTCTTCCCTTAATTTTTATAATGCTACAGGCAACCTGGAAGAAGATGTGGTGGTTATGCTTGTGTGTCAACCTGGCTGGGCCTGGTTGAGTGGCTGGGCAGCTGGATGTAGTATTCCCCATTATGAGACTGGTAATCAACTCCATGGTGGAATCTACTGCGAGCAGCTGAGTAGCTGCATTTGGGTATGTGGTCTGCTTCCCATATATAAGAAACAGCTTTGGGAATGGTCCCTAGTTTATGGCACGCTTGGACCCTGCACAGCCATGTCGTTGTTCAGCAACGACAATGCCATGCTCTGTCGACCTTGGGACTTACAATGGACTTAAATTAATGGCCTGCTGTGTGGTTTGGTAACATTGGAACTGTGTTTTTTTACTTGTCGACCTTGGGCTTGTTAGTCTCAGCAGCCAGCAGCCGTCTGAGTGTAGAAACACCTCTAGCTCCAGTGGGCCAGGAGCAGGAGGCAGAGCTGGAGCCTAAGGTTGAGGGGCTTTCACACAGCCCCTAGAGCCTGGCACCTTGAACTTGGACTTAAAGACTCCAAACTGTAAGAGAATAAACTCCTGTTGTTAAGGCCATCCCATTGTGGTATATATTTCTGCCAGAGTGGCACTAGGTAACCAGAACAGAAGACAAAATAGAAAAAAAGGCAAGATAAAATTTGATCTTTCATATGTGAATTTTGTTCTAATGTAGTAAAGCCTGAGTGTTCTCTTGAAAACATCTTAATTAAGGGAAAGAAAAGAAAATCCTGCAGTTAAACCCTGAAGCTCTACCACATATTCAGAACAGAAACTGAGATGAAACAGAGTGGCATGGATAATATATGGTACCCTTTGGTACTATCATATCATTCTCCTTGATCAAATCACTGCTTTGTTTTTTTTAATATTAAAAGTACCCAAGGGTAATTTATTAATTTGATAAGAAGTAAAAGCTCATGAAGGGAATTTTTTCTTGTGCCTACACTCTAAATATTTCCATGGAAATTATGCAGCAGCTGATAATTGCTTAAACCATACCTCTAGTGCAGACCTTTTTTCTAAGCTCTGGATGTTTCATAGGTACCTCAAACTCAATATCTGAAATGGAATCCATTATTCCTTCATTTCTTACTTTAATTTCTTCTGAATTCCCTTGCTTGATGGATGGTCCCACCATGCAGCCATCCACCCAAGCCTGATACTTAAGAGTTGTCCTTGACTGCTACTTCTTTAGGTCTCTCAGTCAAGTTCTGCTGCTACAATCTCCTTAACTCACTGCCATTGAGTTTATTCCGACTCACAGTGACCTCCAGTAGATTTCAAAGCTGGAAATCTTTATGGAAGTAGATTGCCTCATCTTCCTCCCATGGAGCAGCTGGTGGGTTTGAACCACTGACCTTGTGGTCAGCATCCAAATGCCTTACCCACTATGCCACCAGAGCTCCTTGTTGTTGTTGTTGTTGTTATGTGCCGTCGAGTTGGCCCCGACTCACAGCGACCCCTCCTTGGGTTTCCGAGGCAGTATCACTACAGAAGTAGGATTGCCCAACCTTCCTTCCGAGGAGTGGCTGGTGGGTTTGAACCGCCAGCCGTCTGGTTAGCAGCAAGTATCTTAGCCACTATGCTACCAGAGCTCCCCCTTAGTATGGTCTATATCCAGGCCTCCACTCCATCCTTATGGACAATCTCATAGGTCACCCCTTCATCACTGTGACCCTTCTTGGCAGCTGCTATCTAATTTTTCTATCCCCAGGACTGCACTCCCCTAAGATGCAAATTTCATCTTAAAATGTCTTCAGTGATTCTGGGAATTTTCAGATTTATACAAAATAAAGAGACTAGTGAATCCTTCTGTATTTATCACCTGTTGTTATGTGCTGTCAAGTTAGACCCGACTCATAGCAACCCCTCCTTGGGTTTCCAAGGCAATAGCACTATGGAAGTAGATTGCCCGACCTTCCTTCCGAGGAGTGGCTGGTGGGTTTGAACTGCCAGTCTTCTGGTTAGCAGTCAAGTACCTTAGGCACTACGCTACCAGAGCTCCCTAGCTTTAATAGTTATTAGCAAGTGCCATTTTATTTCATTTATACCCCATGTTTCCCACTCTATTCTCCATTAGATTATTTTAAAGTAAATATCATATATCTTGTATCATGAAGAAGAACATGGCATCAGGATTGGAAGAAAGTTCATTAACAAGCTAAGATATGCAGACTACACAACTTTGCTTGCTGAAAGTGAGGATGACTTGGAACCTTTACTGATGAAGATTAAAGACTACAATCTGCAATATGGATTACACCTCAATACAAAGAAAATAAAAATCCCCACAACTGAACAAATAAGCAGCATCACAATAGATGGAGAAAAGATTGAGGTTGTCAAAAACTTCATATTACTTGGTTCTACAATCAACACCAATGGAAGCAGCAGTCAAGACATCAAAAGACATATTGCATTGGACAAATCTGTTGCAAAAGACCTCTTTCAAATGCTGAAGAGCAAAAATATATCCTTGAAGACTAAGATGTGCCTGACCCAAGATGTGGTATTGTCAATAGCCTCATATGCATGTGAGAGCTGGACAATGAATAAGGAAGTTGATGCTTTTGAGCTGTGGTGTTGGCAAAGCATGCTGGAAGTACTGTGGACTGCTAAAAGAATGAACAAATCTGTCCTGGCAGAAGTGCAGCTGGAATGCTCCTTGGAAGTGAGAATGGCTAGACTTCATCTCACCTACTGTGATCATATTGTCGGAAGTGACAATTCCCTGGAGAAAAATGTCATGCTTGATAAAGTGGAGGGTCAATGAAAGAGGGGAAAGCCCTCAACAAGATGGATTGACACGGTGGCTGCAAGGATGGGCTAAGGTATAGTAGGGATCAGGCTGGCACAGGACCAGGCAGTGTTTTGTTCTGTTGTACGTAGGTTGCTATGAGTAGAGACGACTTGACAGCACATAACAGCAACATATCATTTCAACTGTAAATAGTTCCATATGTATCTCTAAGAGATAAAGCTTTTTTTTTTTTTAAACGTAAACACAATACCATTATCCCACCTAATAAAACCAACAATAATTCCTTAAAATTATTTAATATTCAGGCAGTGTTTGAATTTCTTCAATTGTTTTAAAATTACTTTTTTTCAATTAAAGAAAATTGTTCACAAACAAGACCCACACATTACTTTTGGTTGATTTAAAATAATAATAATCTAAAAAACATCAAACTCACTGCCATCAAATCCCAACAGTCCGAACTCATAGCGACCCGTCCTTGGGTTTCTGAGGCAGTATCTCTATGGAAGTAGATTGTCCAGTCTTCCTTCTGAGGAGTGGCTGGTAGGTTTGAACCAGTGGTTAGCAGTCAAATGCCTTAGGCACTATGCCACCAGAGCTTCTCTTTTAATCTAAAGTTATCTCTCCCTCTTTTAGTTTACCTGCCTGGTTCTTTTAACCAAACCAAACCAAACTCACTGCCATTGAGTCAGATCTGACTCATAGCAATCTCTCCCTAGGTTTCCGAGGTGGTATCACTACGGAAGTAGATTCCCCAATCTTCCTTCTGAGGAGTGGCTGGTAGATATGAACCACCAGCCTTCTGGTTAGCAGTCACAAATTCCATCTTTGGCATTCCCAGGGCCTGGCAGAATGAAGTGGTTTTAAAACAGGCTCACTTTTGAGGTTTATAACATAAATATTCACAAGCATTATACAGCACTTGGTTTAGAGGACATATTAAACTGGAAAAAACAAACCCACTGCCACGGAGTCCATTCTGACCTAAAGCAACTCTATAGGGCAGTGTGGAACTGCCCCATAGGGTTTCTAAGGCTGTAAATCTTTATGGAAGCAGACTGTTACATCTTTCTCCCATGGAGTGGCTGATAGGTTTGAACTGCTGATCTTTTGGTTAGCAGTTTAGTGCTTAACCACTGTGCCACCAGGGACACATACCAACCCTCGCTGGATTTCTGAGTCTGTAAATCTTTAGGGAAGTAGATTGCCCCATCTTCCTTCTGTGGAGTAACTGGTGGGTTTGAATAGCTGACCTTCTGGTTAGCAGCCAAATGCCTTATCCACTACGCCACCAGAGCTCCTTAAAAG